CTCTCTCTCACTCACTCTCTCTCTCTCACTCTCTCTCTCTCACTCTCTCTCTCTCTCTCTCTCTCTCTCTCTCTCTCTCTCACTCACACTCTCACTGACTTCGCGATTTCTTGGGCGTCGCGGTGGCTTTGATACTTTGCGAAAATCCGGGTTCCCGCTTTCTCGATGCCTCCCCAGGGATTTGGATTTCCCGACGATTTCCCACCAGCTCCGAACCTCCCCCGGTCCCTCATTCGCCCTCGGCCCCATAATGCGACCCACCGCTCTATACGACTCTACACACGGGCTTAAATTTTCCTCAGCCCTTCTACACCGTCTGAATCCTCGACGAAGCGCCGCAGTCGCGCTTTTCTTCTTTCCTTTCCTTTTACGCGCCCGCTGATTTTATTTTTATCGCGGTCCCGCTCTATTTCTTTTTGCCGGTGATTGGCTACCACAGCGATCGCGGCCAAAGCAAAGATTTATCATGCGCCCGTCGGTTGCGCACTCGTAGCTGGGATTTCCTAAGGAGATTTATTGCGAGGCATCTTTTTGCAAGACCAACGCTTTTATGTACGTGCCCCCATGGAAATGGCTCCAACACTCGGGTTTAGTTATAAAAAAGGATTTGTAAAGACTAGGCTATGGACAAAATTCCAATTGGAGTCGAGGAGAATGTGTGCCGCGAGAGGAGCAGCAACAACACCCATTTAAATAGTATCTAATTTATGATTTTTTTATGTTGCAATGGGGATAATTTGACGGTATTAAACTTGTCGTTGCATTCTCATTTAATTCGGTATCGGCATTTTCTTTATTGCACTTCTAGTTGTAATGATATAATCCTCATTATCATTCGCTTAATTGATTTTCTGTTCTCTCTCTCTCTCTCTCTCTCTCTCTCTCTCTCTCTCTCTCTCTCTGTGTACTTTATGCGCCAAGGTTATTTACATTTGAATGATATTAATCATAATGATAAACGTGTATCGTTGACATATTTGTTAGCTACACGAAAAGGGATTTACCTACATTTCATCAACTAAAATTCACCAACCCATTTTCCCTCCATTTTTTTTTCTTGTTTTTTTTTTTATTTATTTATTTATTTATTTTTCCGTTCAACTTTTATATCAAACAATAAAAATCAGGGCCAGCTTGTTAATCCACAAATTCTCAAGAACATAAGTATGTATGAATTCTTGGAATAATGTATTTTGGCATATCTATGGCTTAATGATTTTGGCAAGAGTTTGGAAAAAGTTTTGCCAGCTTCTCTCGCCGTGTGAAACTTTTGTTTGAACAACGATACATAAATATTGTCTATACCACATACGTAAGACAATATCCTCCAAAAGAATTATAAAAATAAATTCCCCCTATTGCTTTAGACAAATTATTACATAAATCATAAAGTATATATTAAATAAATACGTCTTACTTTAGTTTCTTTTTCTTTTCTTTTTATTTTCTATTTGTTCTAGTTGTTGTTGTTTAAGCAATCACGAATCACGATAAATGTAAGATAGCTCATAAGCTAGTCTCATTTGCTTTTCGCTTCCTATTTCTTTATAATTCAAAGCCACAATGACCTTAATAAAGAATTGATTATTTATGCGACTATAAGTGAAACTGGCTTGTATTACTTTTTACGAGGCCATAAGATTTTGGCAGCTTGCGCGATTTTGATTTAATGAGAGGAGAAGATCCTGCAACGTACGCTTGGAACTTCTCCCACCAGGGATTATCCGTCTTAATACAAAAGAGACAGCTGGTACATTTCTTAAAAACTCCCTCATTCTTAATGCAAGCGCAGATTAAGACTATAAACAACGATTAGTGGCAATAACAATCCAAGCGGAGCTTCCAAAGCTCGCCTTCCCCGGCTAAGCCATTTCAAACGGACTTCGCGAGCCGAGCGACACCGAGCGACTGCGGAGTCTCGTCCCGAAGTCGACGCGGCTTTGATCCTCGGCCGATAGCCTCGCGCAATCCCCGGGCACGTCACTGCAGCCTCACATAAGGAGAAAAAAAAGCCTAGGGACACTCCTCACTCCCTTCCACCCTCCACCCCCCCCCCCCCCCCCCCCCTCCATCCACCACCCTCCACCCACCACCCTCCACCTCCCCGCGCCCTCCCATCAACCCCCCATCCTCCATCACCTCCCCTTACTACCGATTCCCCGGGGATCGTGTACACGGCGGCCTCGGCGCATACGTAGGATAACAGTTTCA